TCTACAAAACATCCTCCATGCTGGTTTCATGCTAGTTTTTTAAAAACGAAAACCTGAATGAACCATTTCATCCCTCTATTCAAAACTCCTTTTCTCTCACACCCAGGGCTCTAGCCACACAGACCTATTTTAAGTTCCCTGTACAGGAGGAGGTTTCACCATCTATGCCTTTTCCTTCATGCTCCCTCTTCCTGGAGAGCCTTTTCTTCCAAGCACTTCAACAACAGCAATAATAAGCCTATTCATTGTTCAAGGAAGCTTAAGTACCACTTCCTCAAAGAAACCTTCTGAATCCAATTGGATAACATACATGCCACATATCTTTAATGGCACCTCAAATCTTTCATATACATTTCACATATTGCTTACATGTCTTTTTCTCAGTACTATACCAAAAGCTCCCAGAAGACCTGTCTATATTCTTCGCAGGCAGGGAAATGCCTGGCCACATGTTAGGCATTAGATTTGTTTGCTCAATTCATGAATTACAAATATCATCATATAAAAGTATGGGATCTGGGTATTTGTTAACCAAAATGAAGCAAGTCTACACACATGTCTGGAGTTTCAATATATGATATTGAATGAGCCAAGAATATTCCATCTTTAATGAACTATAACTGACAAAACAATTAATCAAAATGCCCCACATTAATTAATTTGGTCATCTCTTTTTCCAATGTATTTTGAATGCTATTTGTTGAAATCATTCCAAAACTCTGCTCCAAAGCTCCGCTGATAGGCTCATAAGTGGCTGCCAGGATTTCTGATGCCGGGCATCAGAACCCAGGACACGTGGCTGTTGCGAACCAGGAGTACAAACCAGGCTTCTCAGCCCAGCACCACAGGTGCCCCAGGCTGGCCTCTCTGGCCCTTTCTCATTTTAAATTTTTTTTTTTTTCAACATTTATTTATTTTTGGGACAGAGAGAGACAGAGCATGAACGGGGGAGGGGCAGAGAGAGAGGGAGACACAGAATCGGAAACAGGCTCCAGGCTCTGAGCCATCAGCCCAGAGCCTGACGTGGGGCTCGAACTCCCAGACCGCGAGATCGTGACCTGGCTGAAGTCGGACGCTCAACCGACTGCGCCACCCAGGCGCCCCATCTCATTTTAATATTAACAAGTGGAGTTGCTTTTACTTTTTCCAACACCATAAACACAGAGAATGATTTTCTGGGGGGACAGTGTGCCTTAAATATTCACAACCCAAAGATCTGAGTTCCTCTCACAGGATCCCTTGGTAAGTCAGACCCTTAACTGAAACAGGAAAGAGGTTCTGTTGAAGCAGAGCCAAGAAAAGCAGAATGGTGCTTCTCTCAAAGATGAAATCGTAAACGTGTAAACAAAACCAAAGGTCTCTACAATCTACAAAAAACTGCATGTGTAACATGAATTGATAAGTATCTTTTAAGCTCAAAGAAATATATATTTAACACCCATGTATAAAAGAATGTATTACCAAAGATACCAGGATTGGTAAACTGTCAGAGAAATACTCCCAGAGGGGCTGGGAAAGAGGTTTCCATTAAAGACACAGGAAATATCTCATTAAATAAGCAGCACAGATGGACACAGAGGGATGGGCAGAGTTTTGGCTGGATCTGTCCATCTAGAAGGCATTCCAGGCAGAGCATGAGCAAAGACACCAAAGTTGGAAAGGCCAGGAGTCCAGTTGGGGCAGTGGGCTCACGGTGGAAGGGTGGCACTACAGTCTGAGGCCAAGTCATGACAGCCCAGATCTCCAGAACATGGACATCAGTGGCACCAACAATCTTGAAGGATGGAGATACTCGGTCAAAATACCCAGCAAATGGCTTAAAGAGCAAAAGCTCTCTTTTGCCTAAATTTAAGTAGTTTCCACATGTAAGAAAGAAGGCAATTCCATTAACATAATTCTAATTTGACTGATGAAAGGCAATCTCTATTGAGCTAGAGGAGAGTCAAAAAAGCCACAAGAATGTGAACTTAACTATTTGCGAGTTTACTATTATTCACCTACCATATCCCAATCATAACTGAGAAGCAAAGCCTGGAAATAAATAATGGGTATTTTTTAAACTGTAGGAACATTTTTGAACCATAGAATTCACAAACTGATTCTTCCTTATTTTTTACAAATGATAATTACCAAGAAAGAGAAGTTATATCCCTGAGCTAGCCCAAGGGCTTCCTCCATTCTAGGAAGAAACTCCACTTGCTAACAGAAACTATGAGGCAGCCACTCTAGGCAATGTTCCCATACTGTTAAACACAACATTAAAGCTGGGAAACCAGTAACAAGCTTTAAGTTCCCTTTCAGAGACAGGTGAAATTAAACCTTAAATTTTAAAGTCATTTTGAAACCACTGTCTTTCTCCTAACTAAAAGCAAAGATTCGTCCAGCGAGTTTGCACCTGCTCGCCGCTGAGAAAAGGGAAAGAAAACAATGGATTATTTTATCCTAAGGAGCATTACTACCTTGTACGAGTTTTGGACAATAAGCCCGTCATGTTGAAATATTGTATTTTCATATATGCAGAAATCTTATGTAGTATAACAGAAAAACAATTAGGCTGCGAATCAGGAAGGTGAGAGAATTTGGTGGCAGTTAAGTCTTGAAAATCACTGAACATCTATGGCCCTCCACAGGCCCACCTCTAAACTGAGAGGGTTGAATCATGACCTCTGAAATGCCATTTCAAAAAATTTAATTTCAGATAGTGGAGATGTATAGCTGCTGCTTCATATCCAGGGAAGCAGTGAGGCGGAGTGGCACGGAAGAGGCTCTGTGGGCAGGCCTACTGGAGTGACCAAATCTACGCTCACTCAGTACTAGCTGGATGGCCTTCAGTGCACACTTCCTTTTTGCTCAAGAAGGGATAATATTTACCTCTGCAATATGCTGGAAGGGTTAGAATGTACGTAATGCACCTGGCACATTATAGGCACTAAATAAAGGTGGACGTTAAGTCCCTGGCCAGTGATGAAAGTCCTGATGGCAAACGGTAATCCACTTGACAACACAGTTTCCTAAAACTCAGCATGGAGAATGGCAGGCATTGAGTGCCAGTCCTTTGCAAAGGGTGAGCACATAAATACTGGAGGACTCATAGGAAGGAAGGATAAAAGCAGGGAGCTGATGATAAGCAGCAGAGGCTTACAGTCCTGCACGTCATAATGACAACCAGGAACACAACAGCATGGGATACAGGGAAGAGGACAGATTTTCAGCGAGAGAGAGGACTACTGGTGAAACAACACAAAACAAAACAAACCATAATGAATTACTGCAATGACTTCATAACCGAAATAAAGCAGAGAGCTGGCTACAGTCTATGAGTCTCACTAAATAGCGGGTCTTGGCAATACACAAGCCCTACTTCCTTTGCCTGTCTGCAATCCTTACTCAGGGTTCAGATGATCCTGCCTGTGGCTCCTGCCCACCTCATTTGCCCCACCCCACCTCACTGTCTCCTAGGTTTACTGCACTCCACACGGCTCCTCTTCTACCCCTGTAACATTCTAAGCCCATTTTTCCTTTAGTTCCTTTGCCCTATTATGTCTGCCTGGAAACGTCCACCAGATCTTCCCATGCTGCCTCATTCCACACACTCAGGTCTCGCCAAACTGTCAATTCCTCAAGAAGTCTTCCGCGTCCACCATATCTAAATTTCCCTCCACCCCCCCACATCCCAGTCACACCCTACCCCCTTATCTTGCAGTATTTTTTCTGGCATTTATCATTATCTAGAATTGTCATTTTTGTTTACATGTTTATCATTTCTCCACCAAAATGGAAGGCCCGTGAGGGCAGGAATCTGACCTAAATTCTTCAGCACTCAATCCCCCAACACCTTAAACCAAAATGTGGCACAGAGATGATGTAGGATCAGATGTATTCATCTGATGAACTTGTTCAAAGAATAAACTCTGATGATTAAAACTGCCATCCTTCTGTGAACATAAGGAAAAGTCCATTTTTATGAAAATACAAAATATATACATATGCATATGTTGTACAGTACACTTTTTCACTTTACGAGCATGAATCCATACATAAAGCAAAGGTACTGTAAGTTTTGTTTTTCGAGATCCTGCTTTTAGAAAGAGAAGGCGGATGAGTAGATGGTATATAGATGGGAATTATCTTTCAGAACCCTTCTCAACAATGACTGTGAGGTAAACAAACCGAACTAATTCCAGTGTATTTGAGATCAGACCCGTTACTTTGTTACCTTGCTAAACTTATCCCAACTATTACTGAGTCAAGTGATGAATTCAGTGATTCCATCTGTGAAACAGAAGACAAATGACATGGTGAATAACTGGTGCAGTAATGGGATGGTAAAGGAAAAGTTTCACAATGTTAACCCGTATTTGGACGAAAAGGGGGGGGGGGGATCTTTCTAGAAAATCCTAAACAAAAATAAGCATGCTGCTGAGATTTCAAAATATGGCCGGATACCATGAGTGGGCAAAGCAGTGAAATGAAACTGTGGCCAGAACACTCATAACTTGCGCTTTTTCCATTTTGTTCTGCTTGAAACACAGATTTTTTTTTTTTTTTTTTTTTTTTTTTTTTTTTTTTTTTTTTAATGAATAAAAAAGGTCAATGATAGACCTTGTCTGTATAACCCACGCATCACCCCAGTCACCATTCTTGGTGACTCTGGAGGGCCCATGGCGCCAGCACGGGGCGGGACCCCACCGAGGGCTCCTCGGGGTCCGCAGGGTGAAGGAATGGAGACTCACAACCTGTATCCATCCCCCGAATCCCAGCCTAAGCAGTGGAACTAGGTGGGGCTCGGCATTCTGCAACTTCACTTTTGCATCCTTTATAAACACAGCCCGCCTAGCCCCTCCTCCTCCCCGGAGGACCGCACAGCGCTCAGCAAACACCCGAACGCCCGGGCTCTGGCCTCCGTTCACGGGTCTCCCCTGAGCCCCGGGCAAGTCATCTGATCCCGGGTGACTCAGTTTTCCAATCTGTCAAATAGGGTGACGAGAAACCCAGCCTACCTCATCGGGTGGTTTCGGGCCGGCAGCCCCAGGCTGGCCCGGGGACAGCGGTTCCGCGGTTGAGCCCGCGGAAGCCCTAGCGGGCGGAGGGGCGGGGCTTGGCGGGGCGGGGACGAGGGACCAAGCCCAGCAGGCGACGCGCAGCCCACCGCCCGCAGCCAGCAGCCCCCGGACCTCCTCTGGTACCGGGCCCGTGACGTCAACACGCTGACGTCGACGCGCAGAAGCCCATCTCGCCCGAGGGACCAAAGACTGGGCTGGGGCCCTCCTGCCTCCCGTAACAGAGCCAGCGATTGGTGAATGGGTCTATCGATCATTTGCCGCCCAGTAAGCAACGCCGGAAGGCGGGAGAGGGCGGGCTCGCCTCGCCTGTGTAGAGGGTGGGAATCTGAAATTCGGTCTCTGAGAGCTGCGGGCTGGTTGGATTTGCCCGAGTGTTGTCCCTTGCCGTTTTATTAAGAGGCTGCTTTCCCGTTATTGGCGATTCTGCTTCTTCCGCTTTCCTCCTGTCTCTTGGTGGGGATTTAGGTTCCGGCTCGTGGAAAATAGTCGTGGCCTGGATTTCAGGGCCCCTGGCACCTCGCACTGAGCTCTCCAGGAATTAAAAAGTAGGACCTTACATTGCTCTGTTCAAGCGTCACCTCCACCCTGAATTCTCAGGCCCCCACACCTATTTAGGAGACCTTTTCTCTGTGCTCCTGTCGCATATCTAACACTTGGATCTTAATAGTAGTCACATTTAATTATATTTGTATGTTTGGCCAGGAGACTGAGCATCTTTTAATTATTGTTATTTTTCAAATTACTTTTAAGTTTAAATTGAACTTTTTACCAATAGATGCTACAGTTATAACGTTCAAATATTTAAAGATGTAGAAAGCTACAGAGTGAAAATTCTTCCACTACTAGTTCCTCAGGCACTCAGTTCACCTATTGGAGGCAACCAGTGTTACTCGGTGAATATTCTTCCAGAGACATTATAAGTGCTATTATTAATTTTAAGTTACACAGAATAATAAATGGAAACATTACAAATTAGAATAAAATCCTTTTCAGGCATTAATTACAAACCCAGTCCCTATAGGATGACCCCTAGTTCCTATGCATTTTGTGTAGGTATTTTTTTCCAATCAACATTCTTTTAAACTATTGCACGTTAGTCTTCAGAACCAATAGTCCAGAACCAATAGAAGCAGTTTATGACTTCCTTACCCTTCGATATGTAATTCCTTTCTTTTCGTTTTTCTATCAGAAGCATCGCTACCTTCAACGTAAGTCGAACCTATACCCAAGCGTTTTCTAGGGTAGAAATACCAGCAAGTGAATGTATTGGATAGAGAATGCACACTTTAAATCTTCATAGTAGATTCCCTTCATTTGTCCTTTTAAGTAGCTGTTACAACTTACAGTCCTACCGGTAATATATGAGCAACTCTTTCCCTGCATCCTTGCTAAAATTAAAAAAAAAAAAAAAAAAAAAAAAAAAAAAGATTAAAAAAATTTTCCGAATTGATGAGTATAAGAAAAATTTTGAAGGATGACACGTGTGCAAAAGAAGTGCAGTCATCATGTGTCCGTGTCTTGGTAACAAAGTGAATGAACTTCTGTAACCATTCCCTAGCCCAAGATTTTAAAAGTTCACCAGGAACATAGACTCTCTCCTCATCCTCGTCTTGGTCATTGCTCTCCTACACACAAATCGCCACGATTCTGAATTTTACCACCAAAATTAGTTTTGCCTGCCTGAACACTTGTAAATGGACAAAGATAGTGTGTACTCTCATGTGGCCCTTTCTGCTCAGTAATATATTTGTAACATTGATCCATATTCAAGAATGTAGTAGTTTATTTTTTGTGTATACTTCCAAGATGTCTCCATTTATTCTGATACTGCTTGACGTTAGGTGTTTGCACATAGTTACATGTTTGGTTTGGGTATATCCCTAGGAGTAATCTTACTATGGCACTGGATGTGCATATGTCCACTGTTGGTGGACATTGCCAAATAGTTTTTTGGTTTACCAGTTTACAACCCACTGGCAGAGAATGAAAATTCCTGTTGCTCTTCATCTTTGCCAACACTTGATATTCTCAGTTTTCTTTTCTGCTCATCCTTTTTTCTTTGTTTTTTGTTGTTGTTGTTGTTTTCAATTTTATTGAGGCAAACTGAATATACAAAAGGTTGCATCTATACGTCCCCTTGCCTTTGTTGTTGTTCTAGCTAAGAGCACATAGCGTGAGATCTACCTTCTCAACAGGTTTTTTTTTTATTAAAAGTTTTTAAATGTCTATTTTATTTTTGAGAGAGAGAAAGAGTGTGAACAGGAGAGGAGCAGAGAGAGAGGGAAACATGGAATCTGAAGCAAGTTCCAGGCTCTGAGCTGTCAGCACAGAGCCCAGTGCGGGGCTCGAACCCACGAACCGTGAGATCATGACATGAGCCGAAGTCGGACGCTTAACCGACTGAGCCACCCAGGTGCCCCGCTTCTCAACAAGTTTTTAAGTGTACAGCACCTTGTTGTTAACTGTAGGCTCTATGTCATATGGGAGAGCTCTAGAATTTATTCATCTTGTATATATCCATAACTGTATAATCATTACAAAATTCCCCACTTTCTCCTGGCAACCACCATTCTAATCTCTGCATCTATGAGTTTGACTATTCTAGATTCTTCATATAAGTGGAATCATGCAGCATTTGTTCTTCTGTGACTGACTTATTTCCAGGCATAATGTTCTCTGTGACAATGCGATATCTTCTGTTCCTCACACCAAACTTCATGAAAGCCCCAAGCTGGTCTGGTCTTCAGTGTCTGCCCTGAGGGTAATCATCATGAGGGGACCACAAGCAGGTAAGAGATGCTACAGTGACTCTGGGTCACCTTTTGTTCCTTTCTTTGTGCATCCCCACTCAGACCTCACTTCAGATGTCCCCAGACCTGGAACCTGAACCCGAAAACTTCTCTGCCCCCTCCAGGTTCAGGCTCTGGGGATCCATGTTTGCCTAGATGGCCAGGATACGTTTTGGCCCTGGATTTTGTATTCCAGAAATCCCTAGGAATGGTCTGGGCAAGACAGATGCTGTACAGAAAATGTGATGCTTGAACTAAGTAAAACAGTGTCAGAGGAAGATGTCTCTGATTGTGCGACTGGTCTATCCCATGCCTTTTAAGCAATTAGAACTAGATAATGCGATCATTTGTTACCCAATTAAATTTGGAAGGCCAGAAATGCATGGATTAGCACTTTTGCTTTTGCTTCAAAGCAGTTGTTACTTAGATAAAAGGACACTTAAAATGAAAAATAAGTTCTGATACAAATGAAGAGGTATAGATAATATTCGCTTCTACTTTTTAAACACTTGAAAAATGAGTCCATTCATGATGTCACACAGGGTAGGATTTCCTTCTTTTTTCAAGGCTGAATAACATTCTCCCAACAAAGGAAAGCCCTGGATCAGATGGCTTCACTGGTGAATTCTATCAAACATTTAAAGGCTTAGCACTAATCCTTCTCAAACTTTTCTGAAAACTTAAAGAGAAGCAGTAGTTTGCTTGGTACAAGGCCTCATCGTACAAGGCCCACATTACACTGCTCCCAAAACCACAAAAACACACTACAAGATAAGAAAACTGAAGGTCCATATTTCTGATGAACATGGATGCAAAAATCTGTAAAAACAAAAAACCTAGATGCAAAAATTTGTGACAAAAGTTCTAGCAATCAGAATTCAACAGCATATTAAAAGGATCATATACTGTGATCAAATAGAATTTATTCCTGGGATGCCAGAATGCAAATCAATAAACATGATATACCACATTAACAGAATGAAGCATAAAAATCATATGATTATCTCAGTAAATGCAGAAAATGTACTTGATAAAATTCAACATCACTTCATGTTAAAAACTCTCAAATCAGGTATAGAAAGAATGTACCTCAATGTAATGAAGTCCATCTATGACAAGCCCACAGCTAACCTCATGCTGAGTGGTAAAAAACTAAAAACTTTCCACTAAGATCAGGAACAAGACAGAGGGGCCCTTTCTCACCACTTCTGTTCAACTTAATACTGGAAGTCCTAGCCAGAACAGTTAGACAAGACAAAGAAATAAAAGGCATCCAAACTTGAAAAGAAGTAAATTGTCTCTGTTTGCAGATTATATGAACCGTATATATAAAACCCTAATGATTACACACACATATATGCACGTAGGCACACACACACACCTGTTAGAATGAATAAGTGAATCCAGAAAAGTTGCAGAATATAAAATCAACATGCAAAAATCAGTTGCATTTCCATACACTAAAGGTGAACTACTCAAAAAGGAAATTAGGAAAATGTTCTCAGTTACATTAGCATCAAAACCAAAATATGTCAGAGGTGAATAATTTGTACACCAAAAACGATAATACACTGATAAAACAAATTAAAGGAAATATAGAGAAGTGGAAAACACCTTGCGTTCATGGATTGAAAGCGTTAATATCATTAAAATGTCCATACTACCAAAGCAATCTACATATTCAGTGCTATTCCCATCAAAATTCCAAGGGCGTTTTATGCAGAAATGGAAAAATAGTCCTAAAATTTATGTGGAAGAGCAAAAGACCCAGAATAGCCAATGCAAAGAACAAAGATGGAGGCATCACACTTCCTGATTTCAAAATATATTACAAAGCAGCCATAGTTGAAATAGTATGATACTGGCATAAAAACAGATTCAGACTGATAGAGCATAATAGAGAGCCTGGAAATAAACCCACATGTATATAGGGAACTAATCTTCAACAATGGTGTCAAGAATACAGAATGGGAAAAAGGTCATCTCTTCAACCAATGGGGCTGAGAGAACTAGATATCCACATGTAAAATATGAAAATAACCCCCTACCTTACAGCATACACAAAAACCAACCCAAAATGGATTAAAGCTTTAAACATAAGACCTAAAACTGTAAAAATTCTGGAGGAAAATGGTAAAAATTCCATGATGTTAGTGTTGGCAATAATTTCATGAATATATGGATATGGCATCAAAAGCACAGGAAACAAAAGCAAAAGAAGATGAGTGGGACTACATCAGACTAAAGCTTCCTTCAGTAAAGGGAGAAAGCAGAATGGAAAGGCAACCTAAAAACTGAGGAAAATATTTGCACACCACATGTCTGATAAGATATTAA